AAATAGTTGAAATTTTATAAAATTAAAAAAATGGTCATTTTTTATTAATTAAATAGGTAATAATTGATTGATTAACGGTCAATCACTGATTGACTTAAGTTTATCACTAATTAACACAATAATTTTTCATTATTAATCAATAATAGTTAATAATTAATCAAAATTAATTATTAACTAATCAATTTTAGTTAACAAATTACATGTTTTTTATTAATCAATATTAGGGGAATTTTGTCTCGGGCAGAATACAATTTATTTCCTATTGTTGTATAAGGACCTTTAAAGTGTCTCAAACTAGGGTGAGTGGGATTTTTTTTTTGACCTTTTTTGAGAATTAGCAAGTAAGCACTTTTAAGGCTCGTTTAGTTCGCTAATTTAAATTTTTAATTCGAGTTGATATGTGATTTTATGTGAGAGTATTTTTACTGTAATAAAAAAGTTAGATGTGACTATTTTTTATAGCTTTTTACTGTAACAAAACTCAAATTCTAAATTCGAATCGGTGAAATAACTGTCTTAAATCAGAGCTTGTTTAGTGCTTGTTTGGTTCATAGCTTAATAAAGGTTTTTGAGGAGATAGAAGAGGAGTCGTCTATTCTAAGGTGATTCAAGGTGGCCACACACTTGTGAGATTCTTGGAGATTCGATAAATAACAAGAAATATCAAAAAAGGTTGGAATGCTTGATCATCTAGAAATTATTTGCCCGTAGATGCAAAAAATTGTATATTTTTTTTCATGAGATAAACCAACTTGAGTGGCAAAGGTTTTAAATGTTTGCAATCCATTCTGCTCCACTTCGTAAAAATTTCACATGTCATGCCAACAATGTGTTGGCTCGAGGAGTGGCCGTTGGATTGAGGAGTTACGCGTGGCTTGTGCTTGTAATATCAAAATAACAACTAGATCGATAATTGATTTTTTATGTGCTTTTAAAGTTATTTCAATAATTTTGCTTCCAATCACATTTTCTATGTGTGCAATTTCGTCTGATTTTTAACGTCGAGTTAATAATTTTACCACAATTACATCTAAATTTTGAATTTAAACGAATTTTGGTACATAAATTAGAACACAAATTAAATTGTGAGTCCATTTAATTCACTAATTTAAAATTTTAATTTAAATTGAGATACAATTTTATGTGAAATTTTTTATTATAATAAAAAAATTAAATATAACTATTTTTTAAAATTTTTTCTATAATAAACGAGACTTTAAAAGCTCAAGAGCACATTATTTTCATGCTCGGAATTTTCATAGAAAAGCCGAAATTTCAATTCTACCCTTGGTAATAATAATAATAACATTTGGCTCCCATCTAATATCTCCCCATCTTTCCAGTTCATCAAATGACGATCAAATCACAGTATTTCACCGTTTCCAAGGATCATCGTCATCCCGTCGTTTCCATTTCCATTTCTTCTATCCCCCCACTATTTTCAGGTATTTTTATATTAATAATATATATTATAATGGATATTATTATTCCCAATTCTTGCTTTCACATTATATATACCGTCTCTCTTCTCTGATCTCCTTTTTGCTTTTTCCGATTCTTCTTTGAAATCACATCCCAAAAGCGAGTTCGAGAAGAGAATTCTCCGTACCAAACAAGATTGAAGATTTTCTCGACCTAGATTGAGAAAAGCAAACAACTTTCCTGAATTTCGTTGAAAAAAAAAAATGGAAACCTTGTCGAATCAAACAGAGTTCGATTATTTGTTCAAGCTGTTGATGATCGGCGATTCAGGCGTCGGCAAGAGCAGTCTCCTCCTCAGCTTCACCTCCGACACCTTCGAAGATCTCTCCCCCACCATCGGTAATTTCTTTTATTTTTTAGGGTTTTGATTTGTTCCTTCCCTTTTTTTCCCCTGTCTGATTTAGATATGTTTTCTCCCTGTCTTTTGAATAGGTGTTGATTTTAAGGTTAAATACGTTAACGTTGGAGGGAAAAAGCTGAAGCTTGCGATTTGGGATACAGGTAATTGGAATCGTCCTATAACATTATCAATTCGATAAGGTTTTTTATTTTTAAAATAATTTTGACGATTCTGGTGCTTACATTGTGATTATGAGTTGTTGATTAATAGAAGTTTTCATTACCGTAATTGTGTTCTTATTCACTTGAGATAATTGTCGGAATTGCAAAGAATTGTACTTTTTTTTTTTTTTTTACTCTATCTAATGTTGTATGCCCTTTAGTATTTTGGTTCTATTATGATCTCTTTCTTTCTTTTTTTTTTTCTTTTTTTTTATATTTCCATCTTTTTGTGGAAAGATGGGGAAAAAAAAGTTGATATCTTTGTTCATCTATATTAGCTGATCGGTTAGTTTCAGCCATGGATGAAAGCCTCTTGGACTTGAACTATTTGAGTTGTATCTTATGGTCATTCCCTTAGACTGGATTTCCTTTCACATAAGTTTGATTTTTGTTTTTTCTCACACAATAGATTCCTTTATTGGAAAATGAATCTTTTACTTTAGTTTCTCTTTTCAGCTTGGTTGCTATTAGAAACTTCGTATCTTGCAAGTTGTGGCCTGCTAGATCTTTAATTAAAAAAAAAAAGATCTCTTCCGTTCTTTTAAGTTCGGGTTTGGCTTTTTTTGAATTTTAACTGGTGCTACATGTTTCAAAATGCAGCTGGTCAGGAGCGATTTAGAACATTGACCAGTTCGTACTACAGAGGTGCACAAGGCATCATTATGGGTAAGCATCTGCTGCTACATCTCTACGTTGTTTTCTGTTACTTTTAGTGTACATCTCTACTTTTTTTTTTTTTTTTAATTCGTGTACATCTCTAATTGTATGGCTATAAATGGGATATTACAATTAAATAAGAGAATTTCAGAAGCATGGTAGCTTTTCTATGGCATATGTAAGGGAAATATAAGGCATAAAGAGGCTGTTCACTTATTTACAACATTCAATTTAGTCAATGTGTTTTAGTACCATAGACAGGGAAGAACTCAAACTTTTAACAAATGATTTGGAGCTACCTTTATTTTTCAAGAATATTGGTCTCAACGTCTCATTGATATTGTTTGTCTTGTATGCCTTTTTTTTAAATATAAATTTAATGTAGTGTTAATTACGGATTTCGGAAGTGTTTCTAAGATCAAAGGAAAAATGTTAGGATTTAGGAAGAGATTTGAATTCATTAGATTCAGGAATATTGTCATACCTTTCCTTAGGGAAGACGTAAGAGGCAGAACTCATACTTGATTGCACCTACAAAGGTACAGTCTACAAGGAGAAACTTACTGCTCCATTATGCTGCCAATGACCTTGAATAAATGGTTACTTTACTTTTATTATGCTATTTATATTTATAGTGGAGTTGTGAAGCTACCGTGGAAGGGGTGCTTCTGGAGAAATGAACGTAGGAAATATAGAAATATTCTGTGAATTGGATTGATACCTTTTTGTTTGGCATTTCAGCTATTTAGCCTCTAAAGATGAGTGAATAATGTAGCTTAACTTTTCAACTTATAGCCAGTCCATATCAAACAATAGTGAGAAGTGAGCTGTTATTGGATTTGCGATGCACAATCTTGAAAGTTCTAAATCTTTGGCATTGATAGATGTTACATTGTAGAGAGCATTGCTAGAATTTGACTTTCACGCTTCAATTCGTAGCAGCTTTACTTGAAGTGAGACGTCGATTTGTTGTCACTTAGAGCTTTGAAAAACATGAAGCTTGGACTTTCTATAGGCAATTGAGGTTCCCTGTATAATACTGCATACAAGTCTTGTATCGCCTGTTGACTTGTTTTATGGGCGGTAGCGTTAAGATGGATGAGTGGCCATACGAGAATGGATCGCATAAGGAATGAAGTTATTCGTAATAAAGTAGGTGTAGCACCAATAGAAGACAAGGTGCGCGAAGCCCGCTTGAGGTGGTACGGGCATGTCCAACGTAGACCGCTAGAAGCACCAGTTCGTGCTTGGGAGGACATTCTTATACCTAATACTAGGAGAGGGAGGGGTAGACCAAGAATTATGTGGACCGAAGTCGTTAGGAAAGACATTCTAGATCTAAGCCTTCAGGAAAGTTTAATTTCGAACATAGCTGTGTGGAAAAGTGAAATCTATATAGCCGACCCCAATTAGTTGGGATTAAGGCGTGTTGTTGTTGTTGTAGCGTAAAGTACTTGAAGTATTAATGTTAAATGTTAATGCACTCCAAAGTTCATAGGCCTAGTATCGTTGTAATTAGTTTTATGACTACAATTAATGGTTCCACCCTGCTTCTTGTGTGGAATCTTAGTCTGTTTTCTGTTTATCAGTTTATGATGTAACACGTCGAGAAACGTTTACGAACCTCTCTGAAATATGGGCCAAGGAAATAGAACTCTACTCAACAAATCAAGACTGCATCAAGATGCTCGTTGGCAACAAATTAGATAAGGTATGCTTTTAAGAGATCTACATATTCAAGTTTCTCTCTCCCAGCCCTTCCCTTGTAAGACAGGCTGTTGAATAGTTGCTAATCACTGACTTGCCAATGCATGCATAACATAGCAAGATCTTTGTGCTAATGTTGCCTTCTTAAAAGCATCCGCTTCATAAGACACTGGTTTATAGCATCTCTTTCTAATGAATGGACTTGGGTCACATTATTCCTTGATCTTAATGGGTGTTCTCATCTCTACATGATTAAAATACGCTTATTTGATTTATTAAACAAAAAAAAAAAAATTACTGATGTGATTTGGATTGAACCAGAACCCAGCTTCTAGATAATTTCAAATCATACTGCTGTTTTGAATATGCCCTTAAATTCATTTTGATATTTCTTTTCAGGAAAGCGACAGGGTTGTGACAAAGAAAGAGGGTATAAACTTTGCTCGAGAATGTGGATGCCTCTTTATTGAGTGCAGTGCTAAAACTCGAGTTAACGTACAACAGTGCTTCGAAGAGCTTGTTTTAAAGGTAGGAAACGGTTTAACCCTGATTCTTTGGTCGTGCACTGCATGTACTATCTTTACAACCTGGAAGCTTGGAATGTGCCTAGTGAGTACATGAACTTAAAATAAATATATATTGCCTTGAAGAAAAGTTAAAAAAAGGCAAAAAAAAAGAAAAGTTAAATGAAGGCAACACGTCTTGTATTCGTAGATGTTTAGGAAATTTTGTTGTTAGGTCAGGAATAATAGCATGAATAATAATATTATGATGGTTTTCAATGATGTGCAGATTTTGGATACTCCAAGCCTCTTAGCTGAGGGTTCTAGAGGGATTAAGAAGAATATCTTCAAAGAGAGACCGCCACAATCTGATGCAGCCACAAGCAGTTGTTGCTGATGGCTGATGCTGATCTTCATGTCAAAATTCTGGGATTATGGATATCTAACCTGGTTTTGGTTTCTGTCCAAATTATTTGAAGAAATTATTTTCAGTTTCAACTACACTTCTGTTTCACAGGAATTGCAAATTGCCCGTGCATTGGCGAAATGCGATTTCAGATCATTTCCTGGCCTCTAAGAAAAGCTGACAAATGAAAGTAAAGTTAAAGATGATTTGGAATGCGATTTGTATAGTATGAAATTGCTTATGGTATTTCAATGTGAGCCTTCATGCTTTAATTTATCATTGCTGGTTAAAGCATGGGAAAAAAGCTGCTTCTTTCATAATATAATTACATATGTAATGCCATTCCTTTCATAATGTCTTAACAATTGTTCTTTTAGTCCCTTTGCTCTTAATAACTGTCAGAATAATTCACTCATTCTTGATCGTGATTAGTCATTTTCTGATTTTTTTTTTTCCTTTTTCCCGTTTGCAGAAATACAAAATGTGTTTAAGTAGAACTAATATATATCTATTTATTTTATTTTTTAAATAAGAGAGAGCAATTAGTATTAAGGAATTTTAACACATTCTAACTAGGTTGACATCCACTTAAGTTCCCACCACATGCCAAGATCCCTACTCAAATTTATTGATAAAAATAAATACAACACGTGCCTCATGGACTTACAAATCTGAAATGGACAGAAAGAAAAAACACAAAAGCATTATTAAGGTCTTGTTCATTTTACTGATTTGAGTTTAGAATTTAAGTTTTATTATAGTAAAAAATTTTGAAAAACAATTATATTTAACTTTTTTATTACAGTAAAAAGTTTTAACATAAAATTATATTTCAACTCGAATTAAAAATTTGAATCAACGAACTAAACAAACTTTAAAACACTAAGGCCAACAAAAAGATGCTTATGATACGTGAAATCACAGGATCTAATCCTTTGTTAAGGATATCTCGTTAAAACCTTGAAAGTAAAAAACCCAAGAAAAAATCCATCAAGGAAATATAGTGCATGATCCCGAGCCACAACTTCTCATAGGACTTAGAAATTCCTCCTGAAACGAGGATCTCACGGACCAATTGACAGAAGCAAAGAACAACGGCAACAACAACCAAGAGAGGGAAAAGAAATTTACTTTCGACTGATACATCAAACACTAACCAAAAAACAGAAGAAAATTAGAACAGCAGAGAACGAGACGCTCCGCTTTACAATATACATTCCAACGACAGAAGATTACCCCCAAATTTTCTTGATCCTCAAGGCTATGCAACCATGTATGCAATTGAAGCTTGAGAGATAAGTAAGACTCCCTCTAGTGGTTTAGGTATATTCAATTATGATTTTTAATTCTGACGTTTAAAATTTAATTTTTTTATAAAAGAAAAATACTGTAATAAAATTAATAATTTAAGTTTAAATATATAAAATAAACGAGCTCTTAATTTTTTATTACTTCGCTGGTTAAAGCATGAAAAAAGGATAATTCTTTCCAAATATGTCTCAAATAGTGAATATGTTCTCACTACAACTCATCGTCTTTCTTTGAAAATAAGATGTAAAAAACTATCAAGCACGTTACGACTAAATTAGAATTTGCAATAGAATAACAAGTTTTTCTGATTGAACAACAGAGAACGGATCACATGACTGCAACTAGACAGTTGTTTGCTCATTCTAAGCCCTAATAGTCAACATTAACAAATTCCAGCTTTTCTCTTTAATGCTTGTCAGAATAATTTACTCATTTCTAATCATGGTTATAGATTTTCAATCATTTTTTTTTTCTGACAAAGGGAATATAAAATTTGTTTCAATAGAGCTAAAAAAATCTACATATGTTTTCTAAATGAAAGAGAGAGAGCAACTAGTATCAAAGAACTTTAGCACATCTTAATTAGGTTGGCACCCACTTAAGTTCCCATCATACACCAAGCTCCTCACTCAAATACAAATCTTAAATGGACAGAACCAAAACACAAAAAAGCATTACTAAAACACCAATGCCAACAAAAAGATGCTTATGATTTGCGAAATCACAGGATCTAATCCATCGAAAAGGGTGCCCCGTTAAAACCTTAATAGGAAAAAACCCGAAGAGAAAAAATCCTTCAAGGAAAAAGAGTGCATGATCCACGAGTCAAAACTTCTCACAAGACTTAAAAATTCCTCTTGAAATGAGGATTGATCTCATCGACCAATCAGCAGAAGCAAAGAACAACGGCAGCGATAACTAAATCTTGCACAAGCAACCAACCAAATGCCGGGGCTGAATAACCTCTTAATCACCTAGAACAAACGATTATCATGATCTCCCTGTAAACAAAGAATACTAGATACATAAAGGCTCCGTTCATTTCGCTGATTCGAGTTTTGCTACAGTAAAAAGCTCTCACAAACAATCACATCTAACTTTTTTGTTACAGTAAAAAGCTCTCACATAAAATCACATCTCAACTCGAATTAAAAACTCGAATCAGCGAACTAAACGGGCCCTTTTATACAGTAATTGTTACTGCTAAATGGGAAAAGAAGATTGCTTCCAAAATCCTTGATTGCCTATGAATTTAAAGATGTGTTAATGATCTCCATTATGTATTCTAATCACCCCAATAAAAAAATGGAAAATCCTCAAAGCAAGATAATAATGATGATGATGGCGAAGCTGTAAAAGGAAAGTGGCAACATGTTAATTCTTCACCAAATGTTTACAACGAAATAGTCCAAACTCGAACTCGTTTATTTTATACGTTTAAATTTATAATTTTGATTTTATTACAATATATTTTACTCATAAAAAATTTAAAATTTAAATGCTAAAATAAAAAATAACTGATTTAAAACATGAATCAAACAGATCCTCATGCTATGCTTTTTATTTATTTTTATATTTTTTTTGATGTTTTATAATAAAGAGGATACTAAAAAATGATTCTTTCTAATATATATAATATATTTATTTTGATAACATTTGATATTCAATCATATCCTTTATGCTAAAACCAATTTCTCCCGTAAAAAGAATATTGGTACTTGTTCTTTCGTTTGAATATATATGCACTTTTTTTCTACTGAAAAAAGAATTAATCTATATATATATATATTTCAAAAATGTTGGTATATTCATATTAAAATTTTGCTCTCTGTGGGTTTGGGCAAGGCGCAGGCGTTTGAGTTTGGGTTGGGTTTGGGCGTTGAGCATAAACATCAGTTCTTCCATCGCTTGGCCGTCGTCTTGTCTTCCCAAAAATGGCGCCGCCGCTGCAGTCGCTGCTGATACAGAAGCTGCTGAGCACAAACGCCCACATCGGAAAACGAGTGGTGGCTCATCACACGAAGCATCTCACCATCGGCATTCGCAACAACGACATCTCCATCATCGACTCCGACAAGACTCTCGTCTCTCTTCGCAGCGCCTCCTCCTTCATCTCCTCCCTCGCTCGCCAGAAGGCCCGCTTCATGTTCGTCAACACGAATCCTCTCTTCGACGACATCGTCGATCTCATGACGAAGAAGATCGGCTGTTATTCTCCCTCAATCGCCTCCGTCTGGCGCACCGGCGGATCCCTCACCAACAGCTGCAGCCCCAAGAAGTTCCGTTCTCGCAATAAGCGTCTCTGCTTTGCTCCTCCTCAGCCTCCCGACTGTCTCATCGTTTTCGACTCCGACGGGAAATCCTCCGTCATTCTCGAAGCCTCTCGTTTGGGGATTCCCATTGTTTCTCTTGTCGATCCTTCCATTCCTTTAGACTACTACGAAAAGATCACGTATCCAATTCCCGCCAATGATTCTGTTCAGTTCGTTTATCTTTTCTGCAATCTCATCACCAAGACTTTCCTTCTTGCCCAGAACAAGGTATTAATTATGACTCTTCTCTCGTTGCTTTCTGCGCATTACCTGTTTGATGTTTTGCCTAACAGAGATTGTTTGGTTTTTCCTTGTTGCGTATTACCTGTTTGATGCTTTGCCTAACAGAGATTGTTTGTTTTTTTTCCTTATTGCGTATTACCTGTTTGATGTTTCGCCCAAGAGAGATTATTCATTTGTTGGTGTTACTATGGCAGGGTAAGGAGGGAGGAGGAAAACTTGAAGATGAGCCCGAAAACTACAAGGGTGGTGATGACAACACTAATGCTGCTGCTTCTTCTTGACGGCTGCTTGTTAGTTGTTTCTATACCTATTTATTTGTTCCGTTCCGCTAATAAAAGTAAGAAAATCAATTTTGTATTACAGACATTTGCTTTTGTTCTCTTTTTGCTTTTGCTCTCATCGGTTATTGGCGCCGATTTCAACAACTAAGATAGGTTGGCTTGTGATTTTCATATTTGTTTTTGAAAAGTTAGTTTTTTAGGAACAATCATATGGTTTTTGTCTATGCAATATTTTACAAGAGTTTTTAACTTTGTCAATGTGGAAATAACGAAATTCATTGAATGGGGTTATTAAACATGTACTGATCAACATCATTTGAAGCTAAGCTACACACCCAATAAACAAGGGTGTCTTTAAGAAAACAAATAACCGCATTGCTTCCCTAGATTGAGAAATCTATGTTATTCTTTTGTCTTAAGAATCTGTTTTTCCTCTTTAGTGAATAGAGAATCTGTTTTTCATCTGAAATGCACTTATGATATCACACGGGTGATATCTGCACAAAGGCAACTTCAAACTCGGACTAGAAAGACAGTAAGACACCACTCTGAATTTGAGGGGGGTTCTTAGGAGGATTCTTTTATGGTGTAGGGCATACGATAACTTAAGAATTTGAATGTTGGAACTTGTGAATTTGGATTATGTACGTCCGAGAAATGATATACTTGCAAGCGTTAGATGTTGAAATTGTGAAATGGAGCAATATATAAGGCATACCCAGTAAAACTTACAAGTAAACCAGATATAAAGATGGCAACGAGCGTTGCTGTTTCCATTATTATATAGTTTGAAGACCACAATGGATCTATGCTAAGATCATTTATTTACAACGGAATGGTATACAAAGTCAACAGATCTCAATGAATATAAAATAGGATTTATGGCTACACAAACCGTTGAGGGTATACTTGTGGACTGGCACTGGTATTGTGAATTACTCTGGTCCCAATTAGGAGTGCTGGTTAGAGTTAGTGAACTCTAATTCAGTTGTGTAATTAGATTAGATCTTATTTATTGTCTACCCATCGCAACTTCTCCGCAGTAAAATAAATGAATGAACAAGTAAAACTAATGGATGATCAAATAGGTAGCCTCTTGGAAGATATGTAGAATGTTGAACTTGAACCACTCGGGTATCAACCGGGAAAAAAAAATCATGACAACTTTACAGCTACGAGGGATTCTTAAATCTGAACTGAGAATGCATATAGATCAATGTACTGTCACAATTCTGCTAGCTAGCTCCATGTCTGACATGTGACATCTTATGTTTTTTCTTGTTTTGATTTCAGTAAAAGACCCCCCATTGTCAAGAACTTGTTCTAAATCTGCCCATATAAACAAGGCCCTTTCTTGCCCTTTCTTTCTCTCTCTTTTTTTTTTTTTTTTTTTTTTTTTTTTTTTTTTTTTTTTTTTTGCTGTTGCGAGTCTTCTTTCTCATAATCAAAAGTTGCAGTCAGGAAAAACAGAATTTCTATTTGATACTTTTAATTTAATACTTTTAAAGAAACAAAGCTCAGCTGGTTTGGCAAAATTGTCTACATTTTGAAGAGAGAAAAAACAAATTTACTGTCCACTGATCAAACTATTTCAAAGTTGCAGAACTCGACAAATTCTCTTTCACGACTTTAACATAGAGTTTCACAGTTTTTTTTCATGAGCAAATTGCAGTTTTTACCCTTTGAGATGATTGGTCTGAAATTTTACCCTTTTGATTACACACTACCTCTTTCACTCCCTCCTCGCACACTACCCTTTTGATAATGGGCCAATATTCGTGACTTAAATATCAAAAGAGTACTATTTAAAAGGGTATTTTTTTATAGCTTGACACAAAAAGGAAAAAAAAAATCAAACAAGTACTATTTAAAGGGTCGAGATTGACTTCATTGTTTTTTTTGTTTTTTTTTTTCTTTTTCTTTTGGGACAAACGAGCTTCATGATTCAATCTAGTAACCAAACATCACAAGAAAATTATAACAGGATAGAACAAGCCACTCCGCTTTACATAGTTATATCAAGAGTGCTCTTTTTCTCATTAACCATGATGATCAAGAACACATTACAATATACTCCAAGGATGAACCAAGAACTTTCCGGACTATATTAAAGAAGTAGCGTTGAAGAAAGATCTTCTTCATCCCTGAAGGCTATGCAAATATGAATGTCTTCCAAAATTTGAGTGCAATTGAAGCTTGTGAGAGAAGTAAGACTTGCTCCAGTGCTTAGGAAGGAAATTTGGCTCAAACTCTGGGTTCACATCCACATGAATGATTAATTAGCTCTATAACTCATCGCAACAAGTCTAGTAATAAACTGCCAAAAAATCAAAGTTCAAAGAGTATACTGGCAAGCAAAAAAAAATTCAGGGACAAAATGACACGATTCTACTAGTCAGGACTAAAAATGCTTCTCTCTCTCTCTCTCTCTCTCTCTCTCTCTCTCTCTCTCTCATATGCTAGAGTCCCGCCTCTCCCGAAAAGATTTAAAGACTAGGTGGTCTATACATAATTTCTAAGCTCTCCATCAAAATCTGTCTCTCTCTCTCTTCTGGACCTTTGAGCTGTATGCATATGTTTCATGTGATCTTATTATCAAAGTTAGCGATTTCAACAAATTTAGTTAGACACAAAAAATCTCATAGTATAAAATGTTAGAAAAATGGCTTGAAAACCTTGTTTTAAGGTAATATTTTTGAGGCACAAATTTGCATAGGACCGGCTTGGTATTAGTGACGGTTCTTTTTAGATTTGTGTTATCTGTTGTGAGAATTTTTAAATGATATATTTATATGTTTAAAATAGTGAACAAGTAAATGAGAAATGACTCTAAAAGTACTCTTATGAAGTTGAAAAATCAAAGAAAAACTCATGAAATTGAAAAAAAAAAAAGTGAAAAGGCTCTTTGTCGAACATCAGAAAGAGACGAAACCTTTCTCTCCTCTATACCCTATAAAAAGGACCCTACTCCTTAGTTGAGACACACTACTACTACAACAACAACAACAACAACAACAACAACAAGCCTTAATCCCAATTTAATTGGGGTCGACTATATGAATTTCACTTTTTCACACGGCTTTGTTCGAAATTAAACTTTCCTGAATGCCTAGATCTAGAATGTCTTTCCTAATGACTTCGGTCCACGTAATTCTTGGTCTACCCCTCCCTCTTCTAGTATTAAGTATAAGAATGTCCTCCCAAGCACGAACTGGTGCTTCTAGCGGTTTACATTGGACATGTCCGTACTACCTCAAGCAGCCTTCGCGCTCCTTATCTTTTATTGGTGCTACACCTACTTTACTACGAATAACTTCATTCATTATGCGATCCATTCTCGTATGGCCACTCATCCATCTTAATATATGCATTTTTGCCACACTTATCTTAGATACATGTTGTCTCTTAATGGCTCAACATTCACTACCATATAACATAGCTGGGCGGATTACAGTCCTATAGAACTTTCCTTTCAACTTAATAGGCATCTTGCCATCACATAAAACTCTCGTAGCATTCTTCCACTTAAACCACCCTGCCTTAATTCTATGTTGAATATCCTCTTATATATCTCATTCGTACTGCACTATAGACCCAAAGTACCTAAACTTCCTAGAAGCCTCAATCTCCACACCATCTAAAGAAATTCCATCACTATGATTACTTGAATTACTAAACCTACAATGCATGTATTTAGTTTTCATCATACTTAACTTAAATCATTTCGTCTCGAGAGTCTGTCTCCACAGTTCTAACTTACGGTTAACTCCTTCGATATGTTCATCAACTAAAACTATATCATCCGCAAAAAGCATACACCAAGGAACTCTATCATGAATTTCTCTTGTCAGCTCATCTATCACGATGGTGAAAAGATAAGGACTAAGAGCAGATCCTTGATGAAGGTCGATCCGAATGGGAATCTCTGCCGTGTAGCCTCCAGCAGTTCTCACACTCATGACCACCCCATCGTACATATCCTTAATTACCTTAATATACCTCACATGCACTACTCTCTTTTCTAGCACCCACCATAAAACTTCCCTCGCCACCCTATCATATGCCTTTTCTAAATCTATAAAGGCCATATGTAGGTCCGTCTTGGCTTCTCTGTACCTTTCCATTAGCATCCTAAGAAGAAAAACGGCTTCCGTGGTTGATCTGCCTGACATGAAGCCAAATTGGTTACCTGAGATGGTAGTTGTGACCCTTAATCTCCTTTCGATAACTCTCTTCTAAAATTTCATAGTGTGGCTTATTAACTTTATGCCCCTATAATTGTTACAATTCAGCACATCTTTTTTATTCTCTTCTTAGAAATTCTTCCTCATTCCAAATGTTGTGCATTTTTATTATTAGTAAAAGAGAGAATTACATATCATACCCCTTAAGTTACCTGACACTTTTAACTTTTTACATTTATATAATATTTTAAATTAGATTTAAAAGACTAAAATGTCCTTAATTGGGTATAAACCCTAAGGGTCCGTTTAGTTCGTTGATTCGAGTTTTTAATTCGAGTTGAGATGTGACTTTATGTGAGAGCTTTTTATTGTAGCAAAAAAGTTAGATGTGACTGTTTCTGAGAACTTTTTACTGTAACAAAACTCGAATTCTAAACTCGAATCGGTAAAATGAACAGAGCCTAATTCTCTTATGATGTTTTCTCTCATCCTTCATTCTCTCTCTATCTCCACCGCACGCCCCTCTTTCTCTCCGCCCCAATTTCTTTGCCCTCTCCTCTCTCTTTTCTTTCTTCCTCCGGCCCCTCTCTGATGTTGCCGCTCACAACAAATCTCCTCGAGTGGCTAGCTAGCTAAACCTAAGATTAGCGTCGCTAGTCTGCGATATCTGAGGTGCCGGGCCGAAGTGCCACCGCGACGGCTGTGCCACAAACTAGCCACCGGATCTAAGAAGAACCTGCGAAATCTGTTTCTTTGTCCACGCCAACATTGAAATTAGCATTATGTTTATGTGATCCACCTTAATTCAGAGGATATTAATGAGAATAATTCTTTTTTATATTTTTTTAATATAAAAAACATCAAAACTATTGTTATCATTATATGACGTTGCAATACCCACATAAGCGACACATAATCTACGGATAAGTATTTTATCATACTTATCAATACTTATCCTGATAAGATTGTTTTTTTTTTTTTATTCCTACCACAGGTGGATTGCTGCATTGTCAACAACAATGGATAACAGTGTTTAAAAAAACAGTATGCTTATATATTGTA